CGGTCCGCGGCTGCTCCGCGTCACCTGCCTGTCCGAAAAGTTCCCTCGGCGCAGGCGGGAGACCTGGTCCTAGCGGTCGGAGCGGCTGCTTCCAACTCTGTTCCCGTTCAGGTGTCGTTTAAAATGTCAGTGACTGATGATTTTTCTGATTCCTCTTTTACTTTTAACATGGTGGACGTTGTTAGCATTGTCATTGCGATGTTTCTTAATGACTTCGTCTTTTATCTACACGGCTTTAATTTCCAGGTAGGGGCTGGAAGTTTCTCCAAGAGGGGAACTCTTTAGAAGGGGATCGTTAAGCAGTTCTTCATCAAGGTTAATCGTTACCGAAGAAGTAAAATTTAGCTCCAAGAAATGTAATTTCATATGGTGCATGTATTTTTAATATTTTAAACCTTGAGCTGAGTATACGGACAAAATAAGAATTTAGTCCATTTTCTGTATTCCTTTTGGGAGCACAGAACACTTCACTTCTATGGAACTTTTAAGTAGTGTGACAGGAACTGTTTAATTAGAATTTCAACGCAAAATACATGTCCAGCCAAATAGAAAACATCATCAAGTAAGCTCATGGCGTGATTTCTCTGATAGACTAACTTATGGACATGGCAGAAGGTTATCCACAGGGCGCTGGCAGTTCAGATAGACACGTGTATGAAAATTACAAGAATCCTAAGACTTTTGGGATTTTTAGACAAAGCTTCATATCTGGTCTAAAGCACGTAGCCTGAATAAAGGATTCCCCAGAAGTTAAAACGTTGCTTTTACAACCTCGTGGCATGGTGGCAGCCTTGCCCATGGAATTTTAGAATTAATTTTGGAAAATTAATTTCTTCTAGCTAGCCCTTTCTCTAGTCAAAGTGCTTTTTGCAGTCTTCCTAAGCATAATCTCGTGCTTTTCTGAAGTCATGGAAATCTTCAGAAGGACCAGTCAGTATGATGGCAACCCAGACTAACCGGAAGTCTGCTGGCCAAGGTACTTTTCCCTCACTAGCTGTGAGAGAACTTGGTAGTGAGCCGTGGCTATGTGGAAGGTGCCATTGTTGAATTACAAGGGAAGACCAAGGGAGGGTACAAAGCAGTGTTTACTTTTTCTGATTTCCACATCCTTTGTAAGGTGTCAGTATAGAAATCCCAGTTAAAGCCCTAAAATATGTGATAGACTTTGCTTTTGCTGCAGTTAGCAAATGAACCAAAGACTGGCTGTAATCCTATCCCTAAGTGTGAAAAGGAAAGAGCGTAGAGTTAGAATAAAGTGCAGTACTTCAAAGTGGACATGGGGGGGTACCCACTATTCCCCTCTTTTCTGTTACCAGCAAGGGGCATTGCTGTAAGTTGGAAGGGCAAACTTTGAAAATAATATCCAATTTAAAATCCCTTTTACCTGTTTTATCTAACTTAGATTTTTGGAACTAGTCATAGCTACAGGCTTTCCGTAAGAGTTTTCTTCCTGTAGAAGAAACATTTGAAAATGAAATGACGCTTATACAGTGTATGTCCCTTTTTCTTTAGACGTTTGGAAAAATTTAAAAAATAATTATATAGCATCTATAAGAATTGACTTGCAGGTGGAAAGCTTCATCTAATATACATGCGTGGTTGAATTATATTGACAGGCAATAAAAACAGAAGGTCAGTTGGCCAAAAGTCTGCTTAAGCTAAGAAGTCTGAAATTTTAGCTTGAGCATTTATTCTAACCTAAACCTTTAGAATGTAACATATAAGTCTGGAAAGATCCGTCTTACCTGTGCTTTCCTTTGCGGTCAGTATCTGGGAGGAGAGCTGATGATTGTGACTTCTGTGAAGAAGAGTGGATTGTATTGAGATAGAGGTGTTGTGTACAGCAGCATCTAATAGACATTATTGTAGATCCGTCAGCTACCCCCGAGACTTGGGCTGTGTGACAGTCTAGAATAAAAGTGGTTTAAAATTATAGGTCCCTGTGTGTACCATATTTACTTAAATTTTTTCCTACTGAAAACCTTAGGCAAAAAGAAAAATAAAGTACTGAGAAATTTGAAGCTTGCAAGGGTAACAAAATTGTCACCTATTTCTAACACAAAGTAGTATATCCATCTATCTGAGATGTTGGCAGCTTTATAAATGATGCATACTTACATTTAAGAGGCTCCCATCTTTTAATAAAATGGTGGCATTCAGTATCTCTGTTCTCATCTTCTAGGTCTTTCAAACTCTGTTGCATGTGATTCTTGGTGGCATTGCTAGCCACTGTGAGCTATAATGTCTCCCCACCAACACACCACGACTATGATTAAGAGCTCAGCGAAAAGTGGTCTCATATGTGTCATGTTGAATTAGAAAGGCCTCAGGATCAAAACATTTTTTCCTATCATTTCTTTTTATGGGGGCACAAATTCTAACATGGTCAGTTTCCATAATGTGGTTTCCAGGGACCAAACCTGGATTTTTTTTTTCTTCTTTTGTAGAAAGTTGTAAAGGACAGCAAACGGGAACCTAGATGGTCCAGTAGAGGAGCCATTTCTCTTTCCCAGCCACACCCAGTGATTCCCTGCTCCTTCTCCTAGGGATCTCCCCATATTGTGAAGCACCTGAAGGTTGAGTTCCCCTCTCATGGTTATCCGTCTTCCTCTCCTGTACCCTCTGGTATATAGCTACAATTTTTGTTTGCATCTCCTTTCTGTGCCCAGTGATCAATGTATAATGTCATTTGTCATTGTTAAATTCTCCCAAGATTTTACTTACAACTGTTTTTTTTTCCCCCTCATTGAGTTTATTGGTACATTTTAGGGATACAGTACAGTTACATTCATTATTGGGATCTTGTACCTTTACATGACAGGTCTTGGTTCTCATTTTTTCCCCTTCCCCTGCCCTCCCTTCACCCTACTTACAACTGTTGAAAGATGCTTTTCACCATTTTGCTTAAAATAACTTTGGCATTATTAAAAAGATAATATATTTTGGGCTCAAAATGCTTTTTAAATACTCTTGAAATCATATCATCGAGGACCTGCCTAGTCACAAGATTGGCCTCCCTCAGTCACTATCTCAAAGGAAGAATCAGTCATTACATGAACCTTGTGTATGAAAGCCAGGCATAGGGAAACGAGTCCGCTCCAGATTTATGCTTTGGTGAGGTGATTTACCTGACCATCTAAAGGAGTAGCATCCCTGTCATGGTGGCATAAAGTGGAGAACTACTGTACTTCATTAGCAATGAGAAATATGCTCCAGAATATTTACCAAAAGAAAAAAATCTGCCTGGAGCAGAACTGACGTGATAACAGCGTATTAGGTTTTATTCTGTTTTGTAAATCCAGCATTACTGTCGGGAGTTCTTTCCACTGTGCCTCTTCTCTCCATTATGTTTTTAATGATATTGTGAGGAGAACCACTTTCCTACTGTTAAAACTGAATATTTGCCTTTAAAAAGACGAAATCAGGGTAGAGCCTCAAGAACACTTCCCTGAAATCCTCAGCACTATTCCTGTTGTGGACTGGTGTGTTCTGAAATCAACTGGTTGTTATGTAAAGTCACTCTTCAAAGGAAGAATGGCCTTTCAAATACGGGAATGATGTCTATGTTAGACATAATATTTGAAAATATACTCCAGATTTAATCTTTTTCAAAGGAATGACCTTAACATTTGAATTAAATATGCTATTGCTAAAATGTGTTGTTGATCAGGTATATGGCTATTTTTCCTTTGCATGTCTAGATTCTGGAATCAGCATATTTAAACTGTTTTAATCATTTGTCAAATGCAATTTATACATGAACAGCAGCTATGTCCTCTTTATATATGACTAGGAAAATTGGGCATTTTAGAGCATTTTGGTCTGCTTGTCACATTTTTCATCTTACTCTTTACAATTTATTCCAAATGTACTTTACTGATGTTCTTCAGATTGTTTCTGAAATCATACAGATCTTGCTTCGTGTAATTTATATTCTCTGTGTGTTTTGGTTCCAATCCTGAACTAAAAACTCAGGTCTTTAGAATCATAATTGAAAACATTTTATTTAGGTAGAAATTTTTACTTGATCCATAGCTCTATATTACTAGAAATTATTTAACTAGCACACTTCCCTCCGTTTTTGTGAGTCATTATTTTAAACTATTTTATTTTCATTAAAATGTTAAAGAGTAAGATAGTTGTATTATAATTGTCAGTATATTTTTATAGAACTGTCTTATTCCATTGTTTCTCTTTATCTTTAAAAAAGATGATTAATTTTAATAATATTTTTAAGCCAGTTTTTTTTTGTTTTTATTTTATTTTATTTTTTTTTTTTGAGACAGGGTCTCACTATGTAGTTGAGACTGACCTGGAACTCACTACGTAGCCAAGCTGGTCTTGAACTCACAGCGATCCTCCTGCCTCAGCCTCCCAAGTGCTGGGATTACAGGCTTGTACCACCATGCCTGGCTTAAAGCCAGTTTTATTGACTTCCAAATGAATTAATTTTATTCAAAAGAAAGTATCTAAACTATCTTTTTTTTTTTTTTGCCCTATTGAGAACAGATCAATTTTATAGGATGATCTGGGAGCCTTATATCATTAATTATTTAGGGGAAGTTGCATATTAAGCCACAACTATTTTC